TCCTCCACAACTAGACTGAAGAACAAAAGGATAGCAACTTGTCTGTTCTCCTTCCCCCAATTCCCCAATAAAAAAATCTTTAAAAAATTTTTAAAAATAAAAGAAATAATAACTTCCCAAAGGAAAGGCTAAAAGGAAGCAGAACCGGTTGCCTTGCTGGTTCCCCTCTAGATGCTGGAATTGTACCTTTAGTTATGATGTCTCTGTAGGGGGTTGTTCTATATGCAGTTTTGTATTTTTTTCTATGTATATTCTATTTTTTCATGGTTTTATTAGTATTTGGCATTAGACTTTGAAATAAACTTCTAAATATAATTTCATTTTCTAATGTGAATTTGATCTGGAATTTATACATACAAGTGTCACATATACACAAGTCCAGCCCATGTCCACCCAGGAAATGTGCAAGCTGTGCCTCTTGCCCACAGGTCAGCAATTGCAGCGGGCCTTCACGGCTACAATGCCACCCTAGTGGGAATACTCATAGCTGTGTTTTCGAAGAAGGGAGACTATTTCTGGTGGCTGTTATTCCCCGTATCTGCTATGTCCATGGCTTGGTAAGTTGTACCTGGTTTCCAAAATGCCTTTTAAAAATGTATAGGGGGAGGAGGGAATGGGGAGTTACTGTTTAATGGGTACAGAGTTTCAGTTTTGCAAGTTGAAGCACGTTATGTGAATGGATGGTGGTGGTGGTTGTGCAACGACATGAATGAACTCAGTGCCACTGAACTGCACACTTTAAAAAGGTTAAATGGTCAATTTTATGTTATGTTTATAACACTCCTTTTAGAAAAATTATTTTCTAAAATTTAGATTCGGGTTATGTCTATTGGAAACAGGAAGCATTAAAACACACTGATGTATATGGCCCCCCCATATACACCTCCCCGCGGCCCTCAAGATTCTGATCTAATTGGTCTTGGTTAGGGATGTTGCCTGGACATTGGAAGTTTTAAAGGCTCCCACGGGGTTCTGAAGTACAACCAAAGTTAGAACCACTCACTAACTACATCCGTTGGTCTTTAACCTGCAGGTTGAAACAGACTGCTGCCCCTTTCCCCATGGTTTCTGATTCAGTCCATCTTGGGTGGGATCTGAGAATTTGCGTTTCTAACACGTTCCCAAGTCCTGCTGATATGGCTGATCCAGAGATCCCACTTTGAGAACCACTGTGTCTCAATGAACCCCCCTTATCCAACTGCCCCACCCCCTTTGAAAAAATTCTTTACTGAGGAATGACATCAGCATCATGGCAGAGTGACAAAACAATTCTTTACTGAATCCAATTTTTTTTTTCTTAAACCTGAATCCTCCAAGCTCGTTTCTGTTTGACACTGTCTTAAATCATTTTTTGGAAGCAAACATTTCCTTCTTCTTATAGCATATTTGGAATATAAAATACTAATATCCACACAAGTGAGCAGTATAGCCCAGTGTGAACAGTGTCTGCAGAAAGGCCGCCCACCCTGGTTGCACCCACAGGTGTGTGGAGGAGAACCTGCCAGCAGAGCCAACGTGTTCAGCAGGTAACTTCTGACCTGCTCTAGGGGACAGGCTCAAGGGCAGGAGGTGTTGCCTGTGGATGCTCACCACACCTCCTCCCACAACCCAAGAAATATGGAATTCTGATCTTAAAGCGATGGCTCTTTGAATGAGTCGACAAATGTGTGCATAAAAGGGACCCAGAGACCAGCTAATCTAATTCCCCAGGTCACAGACAAGGAAAAAGGAGTAGTGTCATGCACAAGGTCACACAGCCCATCAACTAACTGCTCAAGGACTTAAAACTCCACGCCACGGAGTTTAAGACCTTTTCCCTCCAGCCAACACCACCTGCATCCTCCTTGGACAATTGTTTCTCTTTTCCAAAAAATAGATATAGTACAGACCCGTGGAAATGACAGACAAGTTGAAGATCATGGCTGCCTCTGGTGGGAAGGGAGGAACATAAGATCAAGCGCATTACACAGGGGGCTTTAACTGCATAGGCAGTATTTTATTTCAAATGTCTTAAATACTTCCAAAATATTTTTGAAACCTAGATTTATAGCTCACTGTGAGCAACCCCAGAGTATAACTTTTCAAAAGCCAAATAGGCTAGGAGCTAATTTTTTACTTCATGTAAGAATTATTCTCTGTATGACAGGATTTATCTCAAGTGTGTTTGGCTTTTGGAGAGTTGTTTGTTTATTTGCTTGTTTATTTTTCTTTTTTCTTTTTTTCTGTGAAAAGCTGTCCACCACAGCACTTCAGGGACATACTTGTGGATGAAACAAAGCCCCTCCATAGCACAGAGATTTGGTTTGTCAGCATGGCTTGTCACATGCACATTCTTCCATTCTGATCTGTTGTCGTTTTTTAGTCCACTTTTATCAAGTGCATTGAGCTCCATATTCTGCAAATGGGACCTCCCTGTCTTCACCCTGCCCTTCAACATGGTGTTGTCAATGTACCTTTCGGCCACGGGACATTACAATCCATTCTTCCCAACCACATTGATCACACCTGTAAGCTCCGTTCCCAATGTCACCTGGCCTGACCTCAATGCCCTGCAGGTAAGATACACTATCTCCTCACATTCCTCCTGGCTCTGGAGGACACCCAGTGTCCTCCTGTGCATCCAAACCTTATAGAGACTCAACTCTAGGGAGGCCTTGCTGTCTTCATCTTGTCAGCTAAAGTATTTTTTCTACTTCAAAGCTTTGGGCTCTAAGGGATTTTTTAAATGACTATTTGGTCAGAGCTAACTGTTCCCCCTCTTTTCCTAAGATCTGCAGTGCTAATTCCAAAGGATAGCTCCACTGGAAGTCAGAAACACTACTGCAAAATTGGCCCTTGTTGGGGTGGGTGTGATGGGAGCGGGGCTAAGTCTTCCATGACCTGCTTCCTCCAATCAAAAGAACAGGCTGCTTACTGTTGGGTCTCACTACAGAACCTCTCTGTTCTGCTTTTGCTTATGATCAGTCTCACAGAATATGTACAATAATTCAGGGTTCTCAAGCTTTGGTAGGTATCAGAAACATGGTTTATAAAATACCAATACAAGCATCTTGTCAGACACCCTAAATCATAATCTCTGGGGGTGTGGTCTGGAAACCTATATGAACAAGCTCCCCTAGTAATTGCTGTGTGTGCCAGAGTTTGAGAACCACTATCATAGGCTGTATACTGTGTATCTCTTTACAGGTATGCATAGAGAGAACACCATTTTTAAAAACCTGGTTAACCCAAATCCAGTTCCAGCTCTTCCTATTGTGTTTAATAATCAAGAAACCAAATCAAGTTTTTTTTTATTATTAAAAACAAGAGAACACTTGAAGTCAGAAGAAAACCAAAGGAACTTTACCTTTTCTAATGTGCAAAAGACTGGCTTTCCCACTATCTGGTTATAAAACACCTTTTGCTATCCTCTTTGCTGAGAGATCAAAACATGTGAGGAGCTCAAGTAGTCTTCTCTTTAGCTTCTTGTCCAGAAAATGAATGGGAGCATTTGGGAATAACTCAGAAGAAAAATCTAAAATTTATTATAACTCCCCATGAAAAATATTATAAAATAGTATTCATTGATCTAGCTAATACTGTACTGTCCGATACAGTAGCTATTAGCCCCCATGTGGCTATTTTCATTTAAATGCAAAATTAAATTAATATTTACAATTTAGTTCCTTAGCCTCACTAGCCACATTTCAGGTGCTCAATAACCATATGTATTGGATATTACAGATACGGAATATTCCATCACGGAAAGCTCTATCGGACAGTGTTGATCTGGGCAAGTGAGGGTCTTGTCCTTCTCCTCCTCCTGAACTACCATCCTAACATTAGCACACTTATTTCCCATCTCCCCCAACTCCCCACCTCCCCGGCTACCTGAGAGAGAGTTCTGCTGGACGTGCCCATGTCAAATTCCCTGGTCTAGGAGAAACAGGAAGTGATCTTGTGTAACCATGATGATCCAGAATGGGCTCGAAGAATGTGGGGCCCATCTGAGGGTAGACTCAAACACAAGGTATGGTCCTGTGCCCTGAGCAAGGACCAAATCAGCATCTGGAAGCCAGCATTAGACCCAGCCTAATGCATGAAGGGAGAGGACACTTCCTCGTGCCAAAGCTGGGTCTCCCTTTATCAGAGTCACTGCCTCCCAAAGGTCTTTGTCAAAAAGGTACATACATGACCTGGAGAAGGTAGAGGGAGCAAGATAGGAGGTGGGAAGGCATCTTTCAGGAAATGACCTTGGTCAGAAAGGAACTAACATGGCTAACTGTGCCTCTCCTGAACCTATCAGAAGTACTGTTATAAAGAATTATCATTTTTTAGCTCAAATCAAACCCTGTGCCTTCCTGAGACCTGCCATTCTGTGAACACATTAGCTGAATTCAGGTCTCAGCCAGAAAGTAGAATTATGACATTTACATGTATTCTTGTGTTTTGAGGACTGACTATTGTTGATAACTGGAATAAGCTATGGAATAATCTTGGTTTAAATTAATACATGTTCTCATTAACAACAGAAGTATAAATAAATACGGTTCTGATTCATGAACTTGCCAATAATTGCTTCTGAATTGGGGATAAGATCACCTGACTTCAGGTCTCTGGCCCTAGCATTAACCACCAAATTGCACGGGAGTAATAATATTTCTATGGACTGTAGAGATGCATGGATGGTTTGGACTCAGCACGGATGGACAGTTGAAAGCAATAGAAGTGTAAGCTGTGGTCCTTGCCATCCTCACTGGGAAGTATGGCAGGTCTTCACAGTGGGGACAGTAATACCACAGTGGGAGCTTATCGGCTACCAAGGCCAAGTGTCAGCACAAACAGGAGAGCCAGTGAGTAAAGGGGAGTTTGGGGAAGGCATGCTCCACTTGCACCAGCAAAGGGCTGGTGTGTCTCTGGGGATAAAGCAAAAAAAATGACTGAGAATTTTCTGTAAAGAGAGAGAGAGGATTTTTTAAATCAATAACACTGATCTTGAAAGATAAGCTATGCTAAATCGAATATTACTTTGTATATGTTTGTGGGTGTCCTATAGGTTTCTGTCCAATTGTTTTAATGTCTTTATTTCCTAAATCATTTTTACAGTTATTGAAATCCCTGCCTGTGAGTATTGGTCAGATATATGGTTGTGACAGTCCGTGGACAGGGGGCATTTTCCTATGCGCCATTCTACTCTCCTCCCCCCTCATGTGCCTGCATGCTACCATCGGATCATTGCTGGGGATGGTAGCAGGTAAGCAGAAGACACTTTACCAAGTATTGAGCACCTCCTCCTCCCCATGAATTGTCTCAAGCATCTTCTAGACTCCAGCCCTTTCTTTTTTTTTTTTTTTTTAGCTGAGCCATCCTGCTACCTGTTGGCAGCTCAGCGGCTGCTCAGCTCGGGCTGGACTCGAACCGCTGTTGCTCNAGCGGCTGCTCAGCTCGGGCTGGACTCGAACCGCTGTTGCTCAGAGCTCAAACTCTTGAGCGAGCTCTTAACCAACTGAGCCACTCAGCCGGCCCCTCCAGCCCTTTCTTGAGGTCTCCACTCAAAGGGACCATTAGGAATTCTCAGATGCTTCCACCACCCCCAGACCCCTTTCAAGGCATCCTGCCTTTTTTCCGCAGCTCTAACTCCTCCTGTCTTACCCAATAGCTCTCAGTATTTCGGCTCCATTTGAGGGCATCTACTCTGGACTCTGGGGTTTCAACAGCTCTCTGGCCTGCATTGCAATTGGAGGGATGTTCATGGCACTCACCTGGCAAACCCACCTCCTGGCTCTTGCCTGCGGTGAGTATCCAGGCATCTGCAGGAAGGTCGCTCGTGACTATGGGATCAAAATTCAGGACAAACAGTAAGGACTGCGAGAGAAACTAGGGCTAGAGTTCAAGTTCAGGGCCCCTACTATCTAAACGTGTGACCGGGGTAAGTGATGTCCCTTCTCTGCGAATATTCAAGTCCGCTCTGCCTAACTCAGTGGTTATGGTGACAACAGGAGAGCCTGTGGAGTCCTATTACCCATTTTACAATATATGTATGTTGGGGGATAGGAGCTCAACTTGTCCTGTGTTCTTCATACTAATCATTTGATTCAAGAAACTAACAGAAAATAACCCAAGCTAGATACAGAGCCGTTTCCTCTGATGAATCAGGTAGGACATGTGGCCCTTGGAGAATCACATTAATCCAGCTGTCCTCAAATTTGAGTGTACATCAGATTACCTGGAAGGCTTGTGAAAATGCAGATTATTGGGCCCATCTCCACATCCTGATTCACTGTTAGAGGTGGAGGAAGGAGTTTGCATTTCTAACCAAAGGCAAAGTGGGGCTGATGCTGTTGCTCTGGGGGGTGATGTTTTGAGAACTGCTATATTAATCCTTCTGGCTCTGGTATTCTAGCCAGACCCAGCCTGTCAGCAGTAGAAGGGGTTCTGGAGATCTCCACTCCACCCTTCTCCTTTTACTGGCGGAGTGCTAAGTCTAGGAAGATAAAGTGGAGTGCTGAAAGGCATCAGTCAATTAGGGGTAAATGTAAACCCAGAATCTAACAACCTCCAGAGTTGTGCACGTTACACGTTATTTAGTAGCGTTCAGGCATTAGGTAAAAACACATCTCAAGTGACTTCGATTTGAAAAGCTAATGGATTTCTCAGGCCACTGTAAGGGGATTCTTATTGTCCCATAGCCTTTGTGTCCCTAATTCAATACAAGTAACAGCATTTAAGAGAATGTGCTAGAGTGAAGGAAATGACACTCCCTGGGGGACAAAGGAGTGGAAGGATAGTGGAATGTGCAGAAATTACTTCTAATCTAGTGGAAATATTTGTCTAGAGTCAGTTTATCACAGATTAATTAACCCATGGTATGTAAGCCATTGTTAAAATGGTGCACCATATATCAGACAGGATTTAGAATGGATTCCTACATTGGGCAAGAAGTGGCATAGGACCAAGGGTTTCTAAGGCCTCATTCAATTTTCATTTTCCGATGCAGTAGCAAGGTTAACAAAACTCAGGTCGCTGTGGTGTGGCCACTTATATGTCATTTTGCCAATTTGTAGTTACGTAGTTATTTCACCTAATAGTCCTTTCAGAACTTTTTGCTCATTTTCCCATATTTGTTCACAAGCTCAGGGCAAAAGAGAAGGCTGTAGATAGATTATATGGCCACCTGAGCTCAGCTGGGTTAGAATCTTTATTCCGAGGTTAATTTGAGGCTTCAAACCTTTGTTTGGAGTGTATATCTTTGTTTTTCTGGGTTGGCAGTAGCAGCAAATACATATTAAACACCCATGATACAACCCAGATAGTACTGGGAAGAGCTAGGGATTTAGAAGCTTTAGATCCCTGGCGGTTCCTGCACACAGAATGTTATAGTCAGGGGCAGAAGCCACGTGAGTAAGAGCCGGGGATTGGGGGGCAGGGATGGAGAGAGAGACAGACAGAGACAGAGAGCGCCAGCCCATGGGAGACGATACAGTGTTTATAGCAGAAAAAGGAGACAACTACAGTACAAGATTCTTGGGGGAACGTTACAGTTCAGAATCATCGAGAAGTACCTCCTAGAGAAGGTGACTTTTCTATAAGTCCTAAAAACTAAGAGGAGGAATTCTGGTCGTTGGAGAGGATGGTATGAACCAGCATGGGGGCAACCTGAACACATCCTTAAAGATCAAGCAGAAACTGTTTTGGTCACAAGGGTTATTGATGAGGCCTTGACAGACCATGGAAAGGGATGAAGCCAAAGATATTTGCAGATGTATTTCCCCAAAGCAGGAATATCTTCATTATTTTCTTTATTATAGAAGTAGCACAGACTTACTGTACAAGAAAAAAAAACCTCACTCAATATAGAAGAGTATAAAGCAGACAGTGCTAATCAATCCTCCATCCTGCTCCCTGGATAGTACTTTTTTGCCTCCCTCTTATAAGGACCCTGTGATTCCATTGGGCCCACTTGAATAATCCAGGATAATCTCCCCTTTTGAAGATTTTTAACTTAATCTCCACTACGAAGTTCCTTTGCCATGTAAGGCAACATATTCACAGGTCCTAGGGATTAGGATGTGGGCATATTTAGGGACATTTATTCTGCCTACCATGCCTACCTTCCTTTGGGTAGATCAGATTTTCTTTACTAGTTTAGGGTAATCATTAAGGCAATACATTGAATCACTCAAGAGCCCAGATCCTGGTGCCAAAATCCCAGCTCTGCCTATTTTAATTTCAGTAGAGGCCAAATTCACCCCACAGAGGCCATGCCAATTTCCCCTGCCACCGACAGTGTGTAAGAATGCTCATTTCATCCACACTGAGTGCTATCAGTGTTTTTCATCTTTGGACATAAAGCTTTGAGGCAGACCTCCAGCCCCTCTTGTAAAGCAAATCTCACATGTAAAATGTCACAGCAAGTTTCAGCTTGCCCACATCACCCTGATACTGACAAATAAAAAACCAACCATGTCAGCCAAGGTAAGTAAATGACAGCCATTTATTACAGAGGTGCTCTTTTTGTAGTTCAGATGGCTTTATCAGGAAGATAGCTTGGGAAAGTCTGGTAGAGCCTGGCCAGTGCTGCCTTCTCTGCCTCTGAACCAGAAACTGCCTTGAGAACAGGGAATTCCTCAATTTCTTTATGTTATTCAGTGCAAACTATAAGCACATTTTGTATCTCTTTCTCATGATTGGGTTATCATAGTAGCTCTCACACATGGTGGTCTGTTGGGAGGGACATTGCCTGTGATGAGTGGAAATCCAGTCTTCCCTTCAGCACTCAAGGGCCTTTTCTCTCCCTCGGCTACCCAGAGCACTGTCAGGGTCACCACCTTCAAACCGTGGTGTGTGCAGGATTGCACCTCTGATGAAGGCTTTCCCTGTCCGACTCAGCAAGTCTTATTGATGGGCAGCTACTGTTAGATAGTCTGACATTCTTATTATGGAGAGAAAAGCTGCTTGAAGTTGGAGATCAGTTTAAAACACTGTAATAGTGTGAGACTTGAGCACCAAGATTATGCCTTAGAAGTGCAACAGGTATTCATAGGAGAGAAATAGCGATAAGGTCTCAGGTGCACAGAGGCGGTGTCATGAAAGAGGTAGTACTCAAGAAAATAGGGACAGTGCCCCCAGTGCTTAGCCGAGGGCCTGTGAATATTTGTTGAATGAGTGAATGAATGAATGAATGAATGAATGAATGAATGAATGAAATAGAAAAAAAGAAAAAATAATGAAATTATAGAAACCAAGCACAGAAACCCTTCCTCCCCAAGCTGTAGCACGCTTCTGCTCAGAGCTGTATATCTCAGTCTAATTGTGTCAGGGGTGCGTTTACAGCTGTTGTTTGTGGAAATACATGATTTCATTTGAGATGCATCACCTCCCTATGAAGCATGTCTCCAAGTTGCCTTTTTATAGATGATGAACCTAGATTCTGAGAAGTTCAGTGATTTGTTCTACAACAGACAAAATGGCAGAGCTGGAATTTGAAGCCCAGACTGTTTCCAAAGATGAGCTTTTCCCGCTAGCATGAGACAATGGAGATGTGAAAGAATTAGGTATACTGTTGAACAAAAATATACCAGGAGAGAAAGACAAAATATTGATAAAAGGATAGAAATGAGGGATCACAGAGTCCTTCCCACCATTTCCTGCCCCACCCGCCAAGGTAGCTGATAAGATTTCTCACCACACAGGAAGCCTAGATAGTGAGTCTAACAGTGAGTTAGCTGGTGGCCCCAGTGCCTCATGAAGGTCATGCTTCAGGCTGCCTCCTTGAGCCCCCTCTTCAACCAAAACTGAGGAATTGATGATGCCCTACTTGAGATCTTTGTTTTTGTTGTTTTATATTGAAAGTCACACATATACTCAAATTACCTACTCTAAGATTCATGCTCACTCAAAGTAAATTTTGGAGTAGCATGTTTATTCATTGACCTGCGTGCCAACATTAATGGTATTTGGAAAAATGTTATCCAGAGGAGGAATTCTAAGTTAGTGCTCAGTTTCTACTGATCTCTGAGTGACAACTTCTTGTCTTTTAATACCATGATTTTTTGTAACTGTGAATTCTTCCCTAATGTGAGAATCCTAGATGCAGTGAGATTGTATAGAAATCATGCTATCTCAAGAAACATTCATAAGTTTCATTTTAATTCAACTACACTTGAATAAAATAACAGGGAACTTTATTGGCCAAGGAGGGCTTTTTCCTTAAGTATCAGCAATAGCAGCAACAAAATAGTAACCACACAAGAGCCACCTTTATTGAGTACTTGCTGTGTACTAAGCCCAAACATTATCTCCTTTCATGCTCACACCAGCTAGTGAGGGAAATATTTCTATTACCTCCATTGTACAAGTGAATAAATGGAGGATTAGAACAGAGGTCACCAAGCTCCTAAGTGATGGAGTCTGGATTTGAACCCAGAGCTGCTGACTCTAAGCTCATACTTATAACCAGGGTGCTGGGCTACCTGGCAAAATGTAGAAGTTTACATTCCAGGGGATTTATACCAGAAGAGAGTCTTTCCTGTAATGAAATGAAACCTACCAAGCATTGTTCTTTCTTTTTTTGTAGCCCTGTTCACTGCCTACCTTGGAGGCAGCATGGCACACCTGATGGCTGTGGTGAGTTTGCTTTGATCTTGCTTTATCATCAGCATGATTGATCAGTTTTCAGCGATATGGGAACCCCCTTGAAGTCCACATGGGTGGTGTCCCATGGCAGGATCCACGACGGTGACAACCAGCACTTTCCCTTCTCCTGCACCTGCTTGTCCTCGCTCACCTTCCAGCATCACAGTAAATTTTAGCCCAGGCTACAATCACCAGACTTGTTAAGAATATCAGATTGCTCGATTTAAAGAAGTGAAACTTAGGTTGTATAACATATTATCAAATTCATACTCTAAATCTGAGTATTAAGAAGTTAATTTTAGAATATCTTTTACTTAACCAGAAAGCCAGGACTATGTAATAGTTGAGAAAGCAGGAAAGAGAGGAAAAGGATAATTGGCTAAAGACCCAGATTTGTTTTAAATCAAGTCAATAGTTTTTCATATCCATTGTCTTTATTTAAATCTTCCATCAGTCATCAGTAAGACTTACTCAGATCCATGTCCTGGCTGACTTGTTTAATAGACAAAATGGGTATTTTTGTATTACCCATCTTTATATTACCCATTAAAGACGTCCTGCCACTCGCTCTTTCCATTTTTTTTTGTTTTTTTTTTTTTTAGCTGAGCCATCCTGCCTCCTGTTGGCAGCTCAGCGGCTACTCAGCTCGGGCTGGGAATCGAACCACTGTTGCTCAGAGCTCAAACTCTTGAGCGAGCTCTTAACCAACTGAGTCACTCAGCGGGCGCTCCCACTTTCCTTTTTAGCACCGTCCTGCCCTTTGACCTTCTTTTTCCCCCCCCCCCCCCCAGGAGCCCAGTATCCGCCGACTGTTCCAGGATCCCTACCTCCCAGCGCCCTGAATGTTTTTCTCTCTTCTACACCCACCATTTCAAGTGATGCAGGGCCAGTTTCTAATAGCTCAATCCATGCTGATATGGCCAAGGCTGCTAATGGGTCAAGATAGGACCTAGCTCTCTCTACAGCAACATAGAGAGTTTATCTGGGAGGGTCCTCTGGAAATGATATCTTTCTGGTGGAAAGTCAAAGCACCATAACAGGCATGGTGGGGAGTACATTTGAACATTGGGGGGCCCTTCGCATCCCAACAAAGAGTCACAGACATATATCCATGGACCAGAATTGGGCAAGCTACACATTAGAGTCAGCTAGGGAGATTTTGAAGCACACAGATCCTTAGGCCCTGTTCTTTGGCATTTCTGATACAGTGGATCTGCTATGGTATGTGGGCATCTGTGTTTTTTAACCCTCCCATCAGTTGAGTCTGATGTACAGTCAAGTTTGGGTGCCATCACATTCAGGGTGTCCATCCATAGAGCCAGACGTCACCACGTGCATGATATAAGCTCAGAATTAATGAGTTTCCGTGAATAGCACAGAAGAAAGACTTAACCACAAGGAGCTTAGAGTCTATTTGGGAAACAGAGTGAAAAGAAGTAAAGCAAGTGAAGCCCAAGACCTAGTGTGGGTGGAAGTCAAGTGGGGAGAGGTCACCATGGGCTAAACTAATCAAAGAAGGCCTTGTGAGTGTGATTAGTGGTCAGGAGCCATTGGCAGTTTGCTAAGTGTCCTCTCTGTATGCCAAGTGTCATCTTTGCACACCTGGTGTAGGAAATCTGGATGTATGGGGGAAGGAAAAGATATACAAGATAGAAATAAAACTGACCACCTAAAGAATGGATAATGACATTTCAATTGCTAAATGCCCTGAGGTCTTAGACTCAGTCTCCGTGGGAATAAGCAGAGTCCAGAGCAATGCCCCCAGTGGTTCATCCCCCTGGGCAGAGTGAGACTAGAGTTGAAGGGTAATGATTTGTGCAGACTAGCTTTCCGGCATGATCTCAAAGGGCAGTGTGGCTTGTCTCTTCTTCCTCAGGTCGGATTGCCATGTGCTACCTGGCCCTTCTGTTTGGCCACACTACTGTTCCTCTTGCTGACCACGAAAAACCCCAACATCTACAAAATGCCCCTCAGTAAAGTCACTTATCCTGAAGAAAACCGCATCTTCTACCTACAAGCCAGGAAAAGGATGGTTGAAAGCCCTCTGTGAGAGCAACGCCCACCACAGCCATGGTCACAAGTCATTTCTGACTAACTGCCCCCATTGACTTCCAAGGTCTCGGCAAACTGTTGTTTTTCACTAGTAACCCCTTTTATACTAACCCATCAGCAATGTGTTCCTATGTCATTTTGTAGTTTTCTTTTAAACTTCAGCAACATCCCTAAACATGTGACAGACACATCCAGACGATGCGCTCTGGCTATGGAATTGTAAACCCTCATGGGGCATTGGCACTAAGACTATAATACATTTATAAAGCCAAAATGTTCCAGCAGAAAGAGGAAGTGAGACTAGAGCTAATTATTGGTATTTATTGATTTTTTTGGTGTTTGGTTGGCTAAATGATGTTAACAGTATTAAAAATTAAGCTTTATATGCCAGTTAGGCCTTAAGGGAATGGAATTCACTGTCACAAAATCGAAGTCAACCCAGAATCCTCAGATAAGCAGTTTGGCTTATGAAAATCAATGCAAGTCACACATTACAGCTTGATCAGCACCACAGGACTGCAGGCTGATCACTGAGTTTGTTCCTATGTCCTCAGTAGGACGGCCTCAATCCTGTCACTGTGTGAGTGACATTCACTTACAGGAGATAGTTGGGTTTTTTTCAGATTGGCAGAGCTGCATTAGGTAGAAAAGATTTTTGTCAGTCAAAGCTATTCTGTATTGTTAACTTCTCTTGGAAGTTGCAAAGGATTTTTTAGATACAGTTTACTATCTTGTTCTTATGAGAATGGATTTGTCTTCAATGAGTTAAAATAAGAGAAGTTCCTGGCTTAACCAGGTCCTAGATATTAAAGAAAATTTACGTTTTTATACAATACTCAACATAGCTATTTTTACTTTAATCCTTAAATTGATTTCGTAAATGCCACAAATGCATTAGAGTTAAGCCAACACTCGAGGGCCCTTTAAAGTTACATTGTCAGTTCATTTGAGGATGTCTTATATGTTATAAAGACTGAAAGTTAAGGTCAGATTGCTTCTGGGTGTTTAGAAGTTGTTCAATTGCTGACTTTAAAAAAAAAGTCATTATTTTCTGAACATTCATAATATTTTCGCTCAGAAACCAATGGTATTTGAGCCACCAGAAAATATATAGATAAAGGATTCTCTTTTTTTCATTTAAAATTTATCAGTTCTATAAGGATTCTATAACCAAACACGCTGAGGGTACCAGTGGAAAGTCCTGCCAATCACCTTCCGCTTCAGTATGTATCGATTCAATATTCTGGAGGATGTAAAAAGTGAAACTGTGGAATCCTAAACATTTTTTTCCTCTTTGGCTTCACAGTGCTCAGTGCAGAATATACAATTTACTGAGTGAATAAACATAAAAAGGGAAGAAAACCTACAAATATTTTAGGGAGAAGCTCATTTCTTCCTTTTCTCAGGAAAACAAACAAACGTTTTTCCAATTTTAAAACCCCGTGACCAAAGCCTTTTGAAACCATGAACTTGCAACTGTCATGGAGGCATGTGTATATTCATGTGGAAAAACTAAATCTTCAGTCTTTGATCTGAAATCTCCCTGGTTAGGCAATTTGTGAAATAAGATTTCAAGGGAAACTAAAAAGCAAGCATTACCAAAGATAACCAGGCATGAAGAAACTCGGCGGCGGTTGAGTGAACCAGAGGCCTCTAAAATGTCTCCAAGTTGATCTTCGGAATGGAGTTAATTATGTATCTTCCATTCCCCTGCGCTCACACAGAGTTGTAAATAGGAACATTTGAAAGCCTTGAACATTGTCTAATTTAAATGGTATTAATTTTCTCAAGCTATTTTTGTTACTAAGCATTATCCTAAAATTGAGTATTTTTATGAATTTTCTTAGGGAGCATTTATATTTTTTTCTATTGTCTCTATAACAAATTTCTATGTAAGAATACAAATAAATTATTCTCACAGCAAAGTTTTGTGTAAATTTTGTTTAGAAGTCATATATGCTTTTAATGGCTATTGTGTATATTAACAATCACATACGTAAGTGTATATTGCTTGTATCTTAAGGTGCTAGAATCCTACTCCTTTCTTACTTGGTAATAGTACCAGGTGTATTTGAGCAAAGCCTGTTCAATTTCATATTTACAGGTCCATCCCCTGGGGAATCCTCTCAACTATCATTGTTCTCCTTACTCAGGGATGAGAATGGGTTACTGAGGATAGTTACAGATGTTCAGGGCATGCTCCTAACCCTAGAGATGAATATCCTGATATCCAGATTCTATGCATTCCCAGACAGGCCCTGGGCACCCCATCAGGGCTGACACTGGGCCATGGCAGGCCTCAGGGGTCAGCTCTCTAGGACAAGCCACATGGCCGGTGCTTGCCTCTGACACCCAAGCACTTCTCTATTACTTCCTTTCATCCATGGTTAGTATACTTGAAAGAAAACATGGTAAGAATGGAAATTTACTCCAAGTTTCAAAAGCAGACCAAACCAGAAACAAAAGGAGGCCACAATGGATCGGTCCCATTGTAGTGCCCTCTGTCAAAACAAAGCCTCTCCTACCTATTGTTTCAAGATAAATTTACAAGGATGATCTGGCCATTATAGTCCCCTTTGGTCTGAGGCAGAAAACAGAATGTTTTGAAGCTCTTCTGCTAAAAACTCCAGACATTGTTTACCTCTAGGAGTAACGGGCGCTGATTTGCTTGTTTCCCAGGACACCTGATTAGTGTGGAATACATTGAGGTAGAAGGTTAAGTTCCATGGAAGATGAAGAATTTCCAAGGGGACTTCTTACAGACAAACTTGCAAGAAATCTTTCTGTGGTTGTTAAGTATAGAGCTAGATTTTGTGCATATCAATGTTTCAGCCTTCCCCCTTATCTAACAACTTCCTTCCAAAAGGCTTTAATCTTTAGAGTTAAATCACCTTCTTGAATCTGCATTTACAACCCAGAAGACCATTAGAAGGTTTGTAGCTTCCAGGCTACAGAGTTGTATTTGCTCAAACCATCAGCAATGCAGATACTGAAGGAATCTAAACAAATATAGTAAATAATAGACTTTCAAAGAGTGAATGTAAGTCCTATAAGAGTCTGCTTTCATAGCTCTTAAAATTGAACTATTTATAAAATACATACAATAGATCAAAGCAGATCCTTGCAAAGTCATCTAAAAGAAAAGATTTTTCCCAGCTCTGACCTTAAGCTTATTAAGTATTAACCAGGTGGATGTTAACATATCTAAAGCAAGTGTTAGGTCTGATGGGGCAGCAGATCAACCACTGAAGCTTAGGATTTGGGAGCAAGCATTGGTGGTGGGGGTGGGGTTTCAGCACTGGGGTGGTGGCCCAGGAACAGGTGTCAGCAGAGATCTCTGTGGTAGAAATGGGTGTGCTGGGGTATCATGGTTTAGCAAAGTTAATCATTTAGACCAAGCAGCTCATGCCCCTTGTCTAGTCCTATACTCACAAGCTATGCCTGCAGCTTTTGGTATAGATTTGCCTCCTATGGGAAAAAATGTACTTGTCCATACTCATGAGTTTCTGATCCTCAGTAGTTACATTTCTCATTTTAATTAATATTTTAATTTTGATACATTATGTCTTGTAAAGTTTTATTCACCTACATATGTCACTAAAAGCCTAATCACCCCATGGTTTTTTCTAACAAAGTTAAATTTCTGAGGCTACAAAGGTGGGTGGGTCGGGAGTAGTTAAAGAAAGCCTTCCTGAGAACCTGACATTTAGGCTGAGACCTAAAGAATAGACCAGGGATGGGCAGATGGAAAAAGAGGAAGGATGGAGGAAGCAGTGTTCTTGGTGGAGGAAACCTCATGGATAAAGGCCTTGAGACAAGAAGGAGATTGGTGCTTTCAAGGAGCAAGAGAAGATGGATGTGGCTGGAATATGGTGAGTGATGAGCAATGACATGGACTTGAGAGACCAATTAGAAGGCCACTGCAGTACTGTGGGAGAGAGGTGGTTGGCGTGGACTCCAGTGATGGCAAGAGGGTTGGAGGGAAGTTTATGGGTGTGGGAGACAGGAAGTGGAACCCTTAGTCCTTGGGGATGGATTGATGTAGGAAGTCAGGGAGGAGGAAGTGTCAAGGATGGTTTTCTGGTTTCTAGCTTGGGCAATAAGGTAGGTGGTGCCACACAATGAATGGGAGCACTGAAGAGTCACTTCTCATGTTACACATTCTTCCTGACCAAGTCCATCTTTCTCAAGCTTCAATCCAGACCCTATGTTCAACTGTCTACAGGGACTATTCCAAAAGCACCTCCTCAATTTCAACACATCCAGAAAAAATTTCATCTTCAACTATTCTGTTCTCCCTCTCATGTTGACTCATGAGGAAAGGTAGCACCCTCTAACCAACCACATAAGCCAAAAATAGTGTGCCGTCCTTGACTTCATTCTCTCACTTCTTGGCAATAGTCCCCTTCTAGGGATTCTACCTCCTTGATAGTCCCCATTGATTCATTAATTAGCAAATATTTGTTGAATGACTATTTATTACATGATGGGAACTGGGACTGCAATAGTGAAGAAGAAGTCATGGACTCTGCTCTCACCAAAACTTTATGAGGTGAACTGACAGGTCAAGGAGTAATGGAATAGTGTGGTGATGAGGATGAGTGAAAGGTAGCCAGGCAACAAGACTGAAGGAAGAGTATTCCAGTGACTTCTTCTTTCTAAGAAACAGATCTCCAAGAACACTTTCATTTATGTCTTTTCAGCAGAACTGGGTCATATGGCCATTCCTGGCTGCAAAGGAGTCTGAGAAAGCATGCATCTGGTATTGTCAGCCTCTATTGTAGCAGGTGAGCTCTGCCATATTGTAGCAAAAGCAAGATAAATGGCCATCGGGCAATCAGCTAACATGTCTGCACAGTGGTATACAGTACCACCATACACTGTGCAGTACCTATGTGCCCAGACCACAATGGACAGCGCCATGTAGTGACAGACAAGACTGTCTATTTTGAGATTCACAAAGAAGGTTGGGACAGACCTAGACGAAGACCTTTTACACAGAAATACTTTGTGGAGTACTTGCTGGACCATTCCCGGAGTACTTTAGAATACCCCAACCTCATACAAGGTTTGATAGCCTCTGACTAACGAGATTCTAAGCAAAGGGTGATACAGCCAGTGATAATGATCAGAGCAAGGGAAGCTTAGGGTCAATTCATGTTCTAATTAGTCCTCTTGATCTAATACTTGAAGCCTCTAAATCGGTCCACGTTGGAAGGCCCCAATGGAAATAGTTGAGTTTCAATTTAGTACTAGCTGAGTGATGCAGTAAAAGTAAAAACAAGTGTCCAACACTTTCTGCTTCATGGTTCCAAATAAACAATGAGAAAGCCAGTTTCCTGTTTGGGCTAGGTCCATTGGATTCTAGCCCATAACGGATTTCAATTATATCACAGTGACATGCAAGGACTTGAAAGGGATGAAATGAAGCGCAGAGGAAAGCTGGCATCGTGCCAGGAAACCTGGCTGAAGTTAAGTTCCTCAGACTACAAGAAACAATGGCAGCTAGGACATGAGTCAGTGACCCACGACCCAGTGTATCTTGGGAGAAGAGCACACACAGGCAGGCCACAGGAGTAGCCAATCCAACAGAGAGGCCCTTCTACATGCTGCTCCTCGGAACTTCCTGCAATGTCTACACCTGTCCCATTTGTCCCCGCTCTGACCTTCACATTCCTCATGGACAGTCTCCTGTCAACTCCAGCCCTGTCCCTCAATGCCCATCACGGCCCTCAAAGGCTCCAAGACACCGGCCCATGGTAGCCTGAGGAGCCCCTTCCTCAGCATCCTGGATCTGATTGGTCAGTACCCTTGCCAGGCCAATTGTTAAAGTTTTAGAATGTCATCCTGATGTACATTTGGTCAAACGATACAATACAGGCAGATTTTACATGCCTAAAGCTGGTTGTAATTTAATGCAAAGCATTATTTCTTTCCAGGTTGTAAGGTAGGGTCTCAGGACCCAGGACACAGTGTTAGGTGCATAAGGGGTGTGTATGCACCTTGGCTTCAGGATTGCCACAGTCAGGATTGGACCAGATCAGGCCAATGACACCTGCATAATCTGAGAGGTACCAAGGCCCTAAGATGTCTTCACCAGCAGCCCCTACAATTTCTCCCTTGAACTCTCAGTAAAAGAACATTATGCGATGACAACAGCAACCTCATTAAGATCTCAGATATTAAAACCCTGGTGGAACTACCTTACCTGGTCTCTTCCCGCCTGACAGTTGGCAAGAGCAAATCCTATAGAAAAGGGACTCTAGAAAGGTTAGTTTTGATGGGCAAATCCAAGGAAAGCAGTCATCCAGAACTAGGGCAATAGTCATGCAAAGGACAGGAAAGAGAAGGAGGAAGGACAGCAAGAGAAAACTGAAAACCGAGCACAATGCATGATTAAAACACATTTCCTGCTGAGCCCATCAGGAGAGAGAATCCAGGAGACCAGAATCAAAGAGTCTAATCAGATATGTGCCTGCGTCATCAGGGCAGTCCTGTGGGTCTATGTAGGTTAAGCAGCAGCTTCCCTCCTTCGTGCCATTTAGAATGTGATTACTTCCTCTTCCCATAATCTTGAAATTCCAGCTTGCCTGCCCTAATGGCCACTTGTTTTTTGTTTCATCTTTCCAACATACTTCCCAACCTCTTCTGGTAACAGCACATCCCTTTCCTTAAGGGATCTGCCCCTTCCCCATCCACAGGGTTCTCGTGGGGCTACCAGCCTCAATACCCACTCCCAGGCACAACAGATCAAGTGGCTCAGACCCGGCCAATCACAGTACTCCAATTCCCTGGCCACAGGGATTGGCCCAAAGAATACCCATGTGACCCACACTGAGCCTATCAGATTTTGCCCTGCAGGAATTTGAAATCTGAGCAGACTTCCCAGAATAAAAGGAAACTGAGCTGGGTCTGACAACAGTGA